AAATTCTGGAGTGAAGCAAATCCACAGAAACAGAAAGTAATTTAGTGGTAGGCCGGGGCTAGTATGGAGTGACTGCTAATGGGTACAGGGTTTTCTTTTGTAGTAATGAAATTTTTTGGAGTTACACACTGTTGATGGTTGTGAAACTCATTGAAGTGTACATGATATTGGAGCTGAGAATGAAGCAGTATTTCATGAATCCCAGGCTGGTCTTGAAATTGCTATGTAATCCAGAAAAACTTTGAACTCCTGACCTTCTGCCTACCTACTGAGTGCTGGGATTACAGGCCTATGCCACCATGCATAGTCAAATGTTACACTTTAAAGAGTGAATTTTGTGCTGTGTGAATTCTATTCCAAAAAATACTTTTTATTTTCAGACAGGGTCTCCACGTACAGACCTGGCTGGCTGGAACTCACTCTGTAGACCACACGACAGGGTTTCTCTGTGTAACAGCTCTGGCTGTCCTGGAACTTGCTCTGGAGACCAGGCTGACCTCAAACTCATGGAGATCTGCCTGCCTCTGCCTCCTGAGTGCTGGGATTAAAAAGTTGTACCACCACACTCAGGTTTTTACAGATTTGTTTTAATTTATGTGTATGAGTATTTTGTCCTCATATATGTTTGTGTACATGCCTCATGTCCTTGGAGGACAGAAGAGGATGTTGGAGTTATTGATGTCTGTGAATCAGTTGTGGGTGCTGGGAATTGAGCCTGTGTCCTCTGCAAAAGCAACAAGTTCTCTTAACTACCAAGCAATCTCTCTAGGTTAATAAAAAAATTAATCTTGGAAGGAAAAGGATTTTTAAGTAATAAAATATTAACAAAAAGTAGTAGTTGCTATATTAATATTGACAAAGTAGATTTTAAGGCAAAGGAGATCTCAGTACTGAATTTTTATTAAAGTACAGAACAAACCTGAAATGTGGAACTGAAAAGTACATAAAGCAGAAAACCAAAGAACTGCAAAAACAGTTGGGGGAGATGACTCAGCAGTTAAGAGCACTGGCTGCTTTTGGTCTTCTAGAGGACCCAGGTTCAATTCTTATGGTGGCTAACAACTGTCTGTAACTCTAGCTCCAATGGATCTTTTGCCCCTTCTTTCTGGCCTCTGCGAGCACCAAGCATACACATAGTGTACAAACATGCATGCTGGCAAACACGCATACACATAAAATAATTATTAAAAATTTTTAAAAGACCAGCATGGAGAATCTGGCAAAAAGCACTTGGCCTTTGGTCAGAGGATCATTCAAGATACAATACAGCTCCCTGGAGACAGTGAATGAGAAGACCTGAGGATGAGGTGGTAATTTTGATCAAAATAGCCAGATAGTGTTGAAAATACTGAAAAGTATGGCTCAGTTTGTGAAAGCTCTAGCCATGAAAGTCTGAAAACCTGAGTTTGATCCCCAGAACACATAAAGTGCTTACCTGGGGTTAGAGATGGAGACCCGAGATCTGGCTAAAGCTAGGCTTGGGTAGAGAATGTGGGTACATGTCCTTCAGATATATACCTGGCAAGAAGGAACTTGTGACTATGTTGCCAACTCAGTCACTCTCTGTCCAAGGGATCTTCATCCCTAGCTCTTTTCTGGTTCTTGGCCACATCCTTGACTTAGCCATGACCCACTCCTGCCCTTCCCCTGACAGCTCACCTCCACTGAGTCCCACGTCAGCTAAAAGTTCTCTGTGTCATGTGAACCCAGAAGTGTTTGTCTCCCAGTCACCATTTCTACTCCACTCCTGGGCCATTCTTCACTCTAAACTCTAGAGGGATCTTTGTATGGCCCAGATCTTTCCCCCCACCCATACTACCACAGGAAGATTTCCCTGGTCTCTATTTAACCCAACATTAAATGAAGTCACAGAGAATGGTAAGAATTACACAAAATCCTTTAAAGACAAAACTGAAATCTAGCCTGGTATTCTCTCTCCTTGGGTACATTGACAAGAGGATGCTGGAAAAAAAACTCTCCCTTTCTTCAGTCACCCAGTCCTTATGTTCCAAGCAAGCCTCCTCTTCTCATAGAAACAGGCAGGATAATTCAAGGTGAGAGAACAGTTTTCAGATTCTCACTCTGCCATAGAGTGGCCTTGGGTTACTTACTTAGTGTCTGTATGCCTCAGTTTCCCCCACATTACTGATGAGGATGATGACAATGACAGTAGCCACCTCATCCACAATGAGCTTTAAATGACTATACATTAAGCTTTCCAAAGCCTGATATGTGTCCAATAAAGAGTCATTGTCAGATTTCTTTTTATTATGAGAAAGAAGTCTTCCATAAATATTATCTATAAACCTAGATACATATTCGTTAAGACTAGGGTGAAGCAAGTTGCTTTTTCTCTACTTTTGGATTCCTCAGGCATCCTGAACTTAGCATATCCAAAAGTGATCTCATTACCCCTCCGACAAAGCCATCCCCGTTGAATCTTTCTCCAGATCTATTGCCAGGACCATCTGCCCAACTCCTGAAGATCTCCTATCTCAGGCTGGTGTTAAGGTTCAGTTTGTAGAGTGCTTGCCTAGCATGTGCTAAACCCTGTGCTTGATCTCAGCACATTATACACTTGTAATTTGAACACTCAGGAAGTAGAAGACTGAGGATCAAAAGCTGAAGTCCATCCATGGCCACATTAGCAAGTTTGAGACCAGTCGAGTCTACTACATGAGACTTAGTCTAAAAATAACAAAACCAGCTCCTATCTGTTACCCTACAAGTTGAGCTCCTCTGAAACCTCTGCCATTCACATTTGTTCCAAGAGAGAGAGTATGAGTCGTGTTTGGCCAAGATCTGGGGAGGCAATATTCTCTTGTGACAAGAGGTAACACTGAATTCCTGTCGCTGAAAGACTGAACCCAGCTCCTTATTCACAGCACCTGACTTTTACAGCTCTCACCCCAAACTGGACAAGAATGCTGCTTGCTTGTGGAGAACACATCAGTAGCACCCTTGCTCACAGGCTGTCCTCTTTCAGGTTTGGGTGTGGCTCCTTCCTCTGTGGCTCAGTGCGTGAGCCTGCAATGACATCTTAGCGCCCCTACCTTCTGGTAACAGGCAGAGGAGACAGGCAATTCGTCTGCCAGGTGATCCAAAGCTCTGCTCTCACAAACTGTCTTCCTCTAATGTGAAGATCTGAGAAGGATGAAGGACATACTGCCTCTGTATGACCCAGGGGTTTCCCTGGTACTCCACTCCAACATGATCAGGATGAAGCTCTCTCCCATCTAGAGCAGGATTTAGGGTGCTGGCAGGCAATGAATGGATTTGCCACGGGGGACTAAGGAATAAGAAGTGGCTTATATATGTCTAAAGATGTGTCTGTGGCATCCCCTGCTGGTGATAAGGACATACTGCATCCCATGTCAAGGCCATTGTGTCAAGGAGGCAGAAGTAACCAAGCCCTATGCCTAGTCTGGAAGAGCACCAGCTGATTTTTTCTAGAAGACTAGCTCTAACACTTATGCCCAGGGCTCCCATAATAGCTAGGAGAATACTTTTTCTGTACGGTCTTCTTCATAAAGCCACCTTCTTCACCCATTAAGAGCCCACCACCACCACTTTGAGTGTTGAAATCCAATTAGTACTGCATCAACAGAATGGGCAGATGTCTGAGTGACTGAGGAAAAAGATGAGATGCAGGGGCAGTCAAAAAACAGACTGGCAAGCATGATCAAAAGACAATGAAGTCCCAGGACAAGTCATTGGAGGTCAGTGAACCAAGCTGCTGAGACTCATTTATGGTACTGGATATCCAAGGTTTCCCTCCAGTGACCTCATGTGAGGAACATCAGGATACTGGGCAAGCATTTCAGAGATAAATGGCCCAAAGTATGAAGCATAGAATAACCTGGAGTGACCATGAAGACAGTGGAGGAAGTTGCTCAGTTGCTTCCTGACCTCCTGGCTTCAATCCTGAAACCCAGAATAACCTCTACCCCAGAAACCCAGGCCCGAATTGTCTTGAGGCCTCGGTACCTCCCTTTGGATTCCAAAATTTGACAAGATGAGACTTCACACATGCACACACACACCCCAGTCAGGTTCTGTTATCCAGCTCATATACTGGAAACTAGAGCAAAGGGAGAATGAGGAAGCAGAGCCGTCTCCAAACTCTGGCTGGCTGGCTGAGGCCTACCCCTGACTGGACCCAACCTGG